ACAGACCACCTGTTTTCTTGTGATTTCAAAGGCGCTTGATTCCCCATTTTCCAGTCAATTTTCATAAGTAGTCCAGTACGAATACATTTTTATTTGGGTTGACCAGTGGTACCAAAAACATGCTATCGGAAACTACTTTCACATAGTAATAAACAGACTTTGCGCTGAACAGTCCCTTGTCATGGAGAGAGGAAGGATTATGTGTCGATTGGGCTCCCCTCCCCCCGCCTCCAGTCTTTTTAATTCGATCATGACGCTGGGGGGGGGAGGGGAAGAAAGTGCGGTAGAAGCGGCGCAAGTCTACTATCATTATGAACTAAATCACGCGCAAGTCACAGCCCCTGTATCATCATGCTGTGGGGCCCAGGGTGGACATCGCCAGCAACGACAGTCAAACCGTCATGTGTCGATCGTATGGTTACTGACTGCATACACATCCCAATCACAAATGATATAGCGAAGCACCCGTAAACAGGATGTTGCGAGACTGATAAGTTAACAGAGTAAGAGAATAACTGGCACATTTCCTTGGGGCCAAGCATATGGCATGGAGGAGGAGAAACAAAGCTGGAAAGCGTTGGACGTGACACAGCGCCAAACTGCTGACTTCAGAAATCGCATCGGGTGCTCCCCTTCAACGCTACCTTACAACTGTGCGAAGTAATCGATAGGCCCGCCTTAAAGATCCGCAAGGCAAGTCATCTTAATATGGGCGATTGCAGGGAAAGCCTCCTGTAGTTAGAAGATCGACCAAACACGACAGACGCGTGAAATAGTTCACGGTTTACTTTATTCTTGGGGGCAGAGACCATGTTCAAGTGAGGAAATCCAGCAGCCAAGGGGCGTTTTACTGTGAAGCACCGGTCAACCGCACTAACATCTGGTTATCGAGAAAATGGCGTCGGCCGCGCGGGGGGGAGAGACGCGAAGCACAAATTCTGTATCGGTACGCCTCACAACAGTCTCGACCAAATACCTGCATCAGCCCCATTTTTTTCAAAGGAAACAGAATACGACTGGGGGAGAGCTTGCAAGGTGAGTGCGCCACCAGGCATCAAAACCGAAAGAAGACAGAATTGCCTCAGTTAAAACTGCACGACGGTTGCCATGACGTTTAGAAATAGGAGAATGGATGTTCTCGCAGATGTAGTAGAATGTAGTCGCATTTGTTTCTCGCGGCCACTGAGAGTAAGTTGTTCCGTATGTAAATTAAATGGGTGCGCGGCGCGAAGCGCCGCGGATTATACTAATCTAATTCCAGAACGATAAGCTGGACCTCAGGCAAGTTGCTGTAGACGACCTCCTAAATACCATTTCTATATTTCAGGAATTTCAAGAAACCTGCAATTTTATAATCGGGTTTTCCCGCAATACGTTATACAATAATACAGATTAGGAAAGTCTACAGATATAAATGAACATTTTTAAATACAATAAAGGAGATGCATATAGTCGTTATTAAAGTATATTCCACTGCATATTCTAATTTCCCACCCCCAAAAATCACTATTACCACCGTTTTCGTAGGAGAAAATGCTGGGACTAGGGATACATGAGGTGCACTACATAAAATATTGTTGCCCTGAAACTTAACCCTAAGCGTAATCATCCTGGAAACTCGTGCAGGACCCTGGGAAGACAGAGGATTGCTGTCCGCGTATCTTTCCATAAA